CTATGGCCTTTTATATTGACCCTCCCTTTCTCTCTCTCTCTGTGTTGATCGTTGGTGTCCTCACTAAGGGGATATTCTTCGCTCTGTTCGGTCCGTGTGTGTTTGCGCTCATTCTCGTCATCCATCTTCCTCCACGTTGATCACTCGTTTCGACTCTTTTAAATGAAGTTTACTTGTGTTTCGGTATAATGTTTGTTTCCGATTTGAGACAGGTGGCTGCTACTCTAGTCCCTATCTTGAATAAGGTCTAACCTTGTATAAATATAATATGGATAATATGGATAGATTTTTTTATTACGCATCGGTATGTGATGGACAGCAGTTAGGGTGGAACCCCATAGTCAAGAGAACCTGCTGTTTAGTGATGATAACCGTCAACCTATGCCCCGGGACTTGGAGTGGTGAACCACATAAGGCCCTGCTAGTTCGGGCATGGTATTGAACCGGACGCCATCGAAATTGGGTGGTGGTGGTGGGGCTCGAACCTCGGACCCCAGGGTCCAAAACACGCCGGTGACTTATATACGTAAATTCTGGAATGTGTTGAAACTAATCACTGTATGAGATCAAAGAGTGGATGAGTGATCTAGTGATGGATAGTGTGAAGATTGGAGAAGCTGGATTCAAAATTCAGTAGAACTAATTTTCAAGAGACAATAACTAAAATGCGATGTGTTGTCATTGTCAAATACTAGGTGCCTACTCCACTGTCACCGTCACACCGTAGAAACAGACGATTCCGGTGCACTGCAGTCTGCGCTTAGACTCTGAATTTCAGTTGGTGATTATTCTCGCTGTGCAATATGTGTATTATGAGTCCTCTCCGTCTTACTGGTCAACTTCTATTCCCTTACGTTTGTGTTTATTAACAAATTTCCAGTGACTTGATCCATCATTTTCTGACACAATTTTGCTTTCTGAAAAGGAGTAGAGTGACTGATATGAAGCATGTATTTCCGGTTTGTTCATGTTATTCTATTTACTTCCACTTTCTAACACAAAGGGACCCGACTGGCGCAAGCTTTACGGCAGCTCGGTCGAGATGATGTGCTGAGAAACTGCATGATGAATGTGGCTCCAGTGACATCAGAGGAGGAACGTGACCAAGCTCTGCGTACTTTAGCCGCTGCCGGTAAGTGATGCATCTCTACGTTGTACTTGTGTGTGTGTGCTTGCGTTTGTGCATACACCTGTCGCTTGCCGCTCTCCTTTTCTCCCAACTCGGTTAGAACAAGATGTTCAAAGAGCATAGGCATAGTGTGTGTGTGTGTGTTTGACTTGGGAGTCCACTTTACAGCTATGAACGCAGTCGTAGTTTTCCTCATCAGCAGTAATTAAAATGTTCTATTTATCTTGCATGTTTCTCTCTAATGTGATGGCTGGACTGTATGGTGCGATTCTAAGAATTTTGTATATCAGAACTCGGCTTGAACTCACTGCGACCGCAACCAAATGACTTCAGAGTGCATTCTATATCTGCGCATTGATGATTGTTATCTTTCAAGTTGCACAAACACACACATGCACACAATGAACCTGACAGACTTGAAATTAAATGCTTTCACCATGAGATGACCGGATGCTTTAGCAACAGGGATTATGGAACGGCAAGGTTATTGATTACTCAAACGGGAACTGTAACTGTGCAACAAGGTCATAGCTGAGGATGTGAATTATGCCCATTGAGAACCACATTTGTCTGCAAACTGAATGCCCGTTTCACAAAAGGAAACAACATATATCACTGCTTGAATTTGTCCCCTATCACTTTGTCTATGCACATTTGGGTCAAGTGACTATCTAACACGTGGCCAAAGTAAACCATTGATCGTGGCTAATCAGATAGAAGTATCACAGGGCGGAAATTGTCATATTTACGAGGTCGATCAGGGTCAGTTCATTTCTATTGATTCCAGTATTTTTTTACATCTCATACTGGTTCTTGACAGATGCTAGATGAAATAAGGAAGTGGATAACATCGAGTGACAGAGAGAGCGAGATCCGGGAAGGAATACTGCTATTTTCAGCTATTGTAATACAGTGGACCGGGCTGTGTGCATGAGACCACACACATACGCACTACAGTTGCGTCAACTGGACTGGTAAAATTGAGTCTGATATAAAGAACTTGAGAAAATTGCCGATTCCCAATTCCTCAACATAAACTGCGATATTCATGTTACTTAGCTAAAGCTGTCTTTCTTGAAAGAGATAGGCCAGGATCGTGCCGTTTTATGGATGTTTGGTACAACAGACGTTTCCAATGACATCCTACTTTCCAGGCCACTCTTCTAACCAATTTCGAAGTGTGATGTCGCATTTTATTGATTCGTAGTTCACGGTAGACTCCTAGGAGTTCATTCTAATCTTGACTTATAAACAGGAAAATCATAGATTCATACATCCATATTCACAGACTCACACTCAGTAGTAGCTGTGTTGGCGTTGCCGATATCCTTTGGCCCCAGTCGCTGGGAACATGGTATAGTCTGCCCGTGGAGAGGTTCGCTCTGATTGATGTATTCCTTAATCTAGACGGTGAATGTTCGACTTAGTCCCTTCGGTTTCTCTCAGGCACTGTTCATGATCTTGGCCGGTCATTATAAAGATTTATATCGTATTCCTTAACCTCTTTGAGTTTTACAGATTGCAGTTGTGTAAACATTTGAGACTAAAGGGGTGAAAACGACCCAAACAATGTAAATGCTTACTGTCTGAGATATGCTGCTCCCATAAAATACACATACAATTCCGGGCTGGATGCTCTTCTTTGTGGATCGGGACTAGTCAGCGGATATCTAACCTGAAGTGTGTTACACTTAGCGCAGTTGTTAAACGGAGCTTTTTTCCTGTTTTGCATCACACTGATCATAATATATATTTCTTGTGACACGGCTTAGTCCTCTTGTGCATCTTATGTCCCTTGGCAGGTGTTTCTGGTCCCTACAGTGAAAGCAGCGGGGTTGGTACTTCGTTAGATTTCAGTGCCTCGCAAGCCACAGTTGCACCGTCTGTGGAGCCTGGACCGAGACAGTCGGTCGAAATGGATGTGATTGTTCCGGTCCATGTCACTCGTCGTGCGGAATCGGATCAGCAAATTGTCCCGCAGCAGCAGCAGCAACAGCAATCAACCCAGCCCCGAATGGATTCAAGTGAACGTGTGATTGTGTTGGAAGGGTCTAAACAACTTTTACAGGAAGATGAGCCTATTCGGTCGGAATCGCCGCCCTCTAATGAAGGAGGTACGCATTGGTTCTTTCCCTCAGCTTCTAGCTCATCGAACACAATAACGATTGGCTTGCAGCATCCCGGTGTAATCTCTTTTTTTCTGCGGCCTAACAGACAGAATACAAGCATTCACTGAAAAATTCCTGATCGAGGGCACAACAATTCAGTATTGGATTGCTCAAGGGTTTTTAGTCCTAAAGTGACCACACTTCCAGTCATGACCAGTTCCTTCTGGTTGACATGCTAATACTGTGATCCGTACCGTTTTTGAATGGTGATCGGGCCAAACAGAATAGTTTTGATCAAAACAACTCTGTGCTAAATTCCAGTGGACACTTTCATGCCTTGTTTCGGCGTGCTAATGGTGTTCACCCATCAAGCGGCCGAATCCTCAAGGTGTTCAATCGAATCGTTTAGTTCTAGCGCGAACCGAACTGCAAGGCGTCGGACTAAGGCGAATTGGAGGCCCTTCCACTTCGACCGATTATCCTTCCGTCAATTTTTACTGTTCGTGACACCAACACGAGACAACCTCAGACCCAGGAGGCTAGAATTTTATCTGGTGACTCCTTTGACTTTTTCCGGCATAAATACTGTATTCTGTACTATAGATGACTTGTGTAGGCGACTGTGCCCACATTTCAGTCAAAAATGTGTTCGCTCTTACAGTGGGATAAAAAATGAAATGAAAATAATAGACAACAATGATAAAACTCAAATAAGTGTTCATCTTTGTAAGTTTAAAATTAGTTCGTTACGAATCCTCACCTTGTCAGTGAGAATACGAGCCAAATAGGGAGGGAACCGTTGAGTTGCGTAAGTGTTTATGCGGGAGGGCAAGCAGCGAAAATTGGATCGGGTTGAAGTGTGCGAACGGCAAGCAGATAAATCGGGATTGAGTGGATGAGTGGGGCCACTGAGTATCTTTTAAGCGAAGTTCTCACATGAAATGACATGCAAATTACACAATTTTGTGATCAGTGTTTAAAAAAATAAGAGAAACACGGCTGATAATCACCAAACCGTGACGTAGAGTAATGAAGTCCTTCCTAAGTAGACCAGGGGAAATAACGGGCGAACAATAAATTATGATAGGAAAAATGCATTGATAAACAAAGGAACACACAGTTTCACGCCTGACGCGAAAGTGTCGTAGCTTGCGTATTTGAAAAGATAAGCGACGCAGTCTACCAACACAAGCAAGTACATGAGAAGACCACCATAGATTACTTTCTATGGTAACTTCTAGGTGTTTCGTGGTATGTGTTCTGGTGATAGGTAAGGAATTAATGACTGAGGGATCCAGGAGGTATTGGGATTGGGAAAGACAAAAAATGCATTTAAAGCATTTAGAAGTGTCCAGTTGGAGACCAGATTAGTTCTTGCAACCGATTGTCTGAAAGTGATTCTCTGTCCGATTGGTTTGAGATGGTTTGACTTACGACCACATCATCGGCGTACTTGAAGGTCTTGGCTGGTGAAAGTCTGAAAGTCGAAAATAGGTAGGGGGAGAGCACAGCACCCTGAAG